TAATAGTTGTTAAAAGACCTCTGGATAAGGGAGTGTGGTTGACTCTCCAAATAGGGTCTCAACTGCAATACCAATGGGACCACCACAGTTTTATCTGGTTGTCAGCTTCACAGATCCAGAATTTTATCTAATTTGTCTATGTATCCAGAATTGATCATATTCTTGGAGTCTGACTCATGGTAACCCAGCTGTCAGTAGACTGATGAGTAAGCCAGGTACAAATTTGCTTATTTTACTGTTCAAGTAGATACCCTTCCAATGACTGAAATCCCATATTTAGGCTATCCCATTCCTGCTATGGAGATACTTAAGAGACTAAATTGTGAATCAAAGTTTGTGACTGTGAGGCCGGGTGCAGTGGCTCATGCCTGTAATCCCAGCACTCTGGGAGACTGAAGCAGGTGGATCACTTGAGGTTAGGAGTTTGAGACCAGTGAAACCCCATCTCTACTCAAAATGAAAAATTAGCTGGGCATAGTGGTGGGTGCCTATAATCCCAGCTACTCAGGAGGCTGAGGCAGGAGAATCGCTTGAACTTGGGAGGCGGAGGTTGCACTGAGCCCAGATCACACCACTGCACTCCAGGCTGGGCGACAGAGAGAGACTCCATCTCAAGAAAAAAAAAAAAGAAAGAAAAAAAGTTTGTGACTCTGAATTCCACGCTAAATGAGTTGGATTGAAATGTTAAGCAAACATTATGTGTCTGGACTAGAGATACATAAAATGCTTAGAACAGTACCCATCACGTGGAAATTGTTCAGTCACTGTTAGGCCATGCATCAATGGCAGCATGATAAAATAGTCAAAGTGTGGCCAGGCGTGGTGGCTCACACCTGTAATCCCAGCACTTTGGGAGGCCAAGGTGGACAGATCACCTGAGGTCAGGAGTTCGAGACCAGCCTGGCCACCATGGTGAAACCCCATCTCTACAAAAGTACAAAAATTAGCTGGGCATGATGGCAGGTGCCTGTAATCCCAGCTACTCGAGAGGCTGAGACGGAAGAATCACTTGAACCCGGGAGGTGGAGGTTGCAGTGAGCTGAGATCGTGCCATTGCACTCCAGCCTGGGCGAGAGAGTGAGACTCCATCTCAAAAAAAAAAAAAAAAGGCAAAGTGTGAAGGTTGGCCTTTCCATACAAACAGTGCCAGGCTGAGGTTGCCTGACCCTCAGGTCTTAGGAACAGGTGTCCTTCTGCTATAAAGGTAAATATGATATGTCAGTGATTTTAGCTTATCACTATTAAATATTCCTGTGCAATTGACAGCTGTTCTTTTGCTTCCGTGTTCACCATAAATCTGCTGATGATTTGGCTGCCATGTCCCTGTCTAACAGGGAGAGAATGCGTTAGCCTGGTGACTTGACGTTACCATACCCTGGCCAGTTATATTTCTAGTAAATTAATAAACTGGTTATAATTTGATTTTCTCTGTGGGTGTGAGAATGTGCTTACCCTAGGATATGAAAATATGGTACCATTGCTGACTACATTTATCATTAAAAATGATGAAACCGCCCACCGCGGTGGCTCACGCCAGTAATCTCAACACTTTGGGAGGCCAAGAAGAGGGGATCACCTGAGGTCGGGAGTTCAAGACCAGCCTGGCCAACATGGTGAAACCCTGTCTCTACTAAAAATACAAAAATATTAGCTGGGCGTGGCAGCGGGCGCCTATAATCCTGGCTATCCGGGAGGCTGAGGCAGGAGAATTGCTTGAACCCGGGAGGCAGAAGTTGCAGTGAGCCGAGATCGCGCCACTGCACTCCAGCCTGGGCAATCAGAGCAAAACTCCATTTTAAAAAAAAAAAAGAGAGAAAGAAAGGAAGGATGAAACTAGCCAGGCATGGTGGCTTATGCCTGTAATCCTAGCACTTTGGGAGGCCGAGGTGGGTGGATCACCTGAGATCAGGAGTTCGAGACCAGCCTGGCCAAAATGGCAAAACCCCATCTCTGCTAAAAATACAAAAATTATCCTAGCATGGTGGCACATGCCTGTAATCCCAGCTACTCGGGAGGCTGAGGCAGGAGAATTGCCTGAACCCAGGAGACGGAGGTTGCAGTGAGCTGAGATCATGCCACTGCACTCCACCCTGGGCGACCCTCCGTCTCAAAAAAAAAAAGAAAAAATGATGAAACCAGCATTAAGTGTTAATAATGAATCTTATGAGCTTGGTTAAAGGGCGTGCATCTTTGAGAACTGGGACTGGAGTTGGTGAACACTATTGGATTTCAGCCCTAAGGCTGAGGACCGAAACACCAGACTGTGCCTTGTTTACCAAAGTGCTGTCACCTTGCCACATCCTGCGAGACAGACTGTCATTCTCTCGAAATATCCCTGCCCCACAACATTGGCCCCAGAGTGTTGTAGCCCACTGTATATTAGGAGAATCTTTTGGAGGGATAGTTTGAGAAAATATATTCAGATTATAGAATCTCTTTTTTAATTATAAAAAAAATAAAGACACGGTGTCACTGTGTTACTCAGGCTCAGGCTGGTCTTGAACTCCTGAGCTCAAGTGATCCATCTGCCTCGGCCTCCCAAAATGCTGGGATTACAGGCATAAGCCACCATCCCTGGCCAAATTCATAAAATCTTTTTCTATCCTTTGACCCAGTAATTCTCCCTAGAGGGGAAAAAAAAATCTCTTCTGAAGAAATAATTCAAATTATGGGAAAAGCTCTATGCATGACGATATGCATCTTAGCATTATTTTATTTTTTAATTTAAAATCTTAATTTACCAAATCACTTTTCACCTAAGAATCAGCATTATTTGTAATCACTGAAAAATCACAAACAACCTATAATCCAGCAATTGAGAATTATGTAAATCATTGTAGATCAATTTAAGCAAATAACACAGCTACTAAAAAGGATAAAGACCTGTAATCCCAGCACTTTGGGAGGCCGAGGCAGGTGGATCATCTGAGATCAGGAGTTCGAGACCAGCCTGACCAACATGGCAAAACTCCCATCTCTACTAGAAATACAAAAATTAGCTGGGCGTGGTGGCACATGCCTGTAGTCCCAGCTACTCGAGAGGCTGAGGCCGGAGAATGACTTGAACCTGGGAGGTGGAGTTGCAGTGAGCCGAGGTTGCAGTGAGCCGAGATCATGCCTTGCACTCCAGCCTGGGCAACAAGAGCGAAGTGAAACTCCGTCTCAGAAAAAAAAAAAAAAAGGAAAAAGATTGGGCCAAGTGCAGTAGCTCATATGTATAATTCCAGCATTTTGGGAGGCCGAGGCAGGTGGATCACTTGAGGTCAGGAGTTCGAGACCAGCCTGGCCAACATGACAAAACCCCATCTCTACTAAAGATACAAAAATTA